ATATTGGCCGTGACACACATTCGATTGTCCCAGAACTCTCGGATGAACTGATGTTTCCAGGCACAAATGTCCTTTGAGATGCCCCGTTTTTATTTGTGTTCATATTGTATTTTATTATTCATTTAGGCATCAGTTCAGTATAATGAATATGTTGTAGCTGAAATTTAAAATTGGATTTTAATTGAGGGGACAAACTGGATGCAGAATTAACTTAAACGGTTAGTTCAACCAAAAATGAAAATTAGCCCATAAATTACTCCTCCTCAATGCATCCTAGGTGTATATGACTTTCTTCTTTCAGACGAATCCAGTCAGAGTTATATAAAAAATTGTCTTTGATCTTTCAAGCTGTTCAATGCCAGTCAGCGGGTGTTGCATGCATCAGTCCAAAAGAAGTGATTTTTATATAACACCGACTGGATTCGTCTGAAAGAAGAAAGTCATATACACCTAGGATGCATTGAGGGGGAGTAATTTATGGGCTAATTTTCATTTTTGGGTGAACTAACCCTTTAAATTAAAAAATTTGAATGTAAAGAAAGTGGAATTACAATGAATTGAAATTCAAGTTCATGTAACTAACTTTTAAATAGAAAAACAGATTTACAAACTTTGAATGTTGAAAAGTTTGGGGTCAGTAAGATTTTTTTGTAATGTTTTTTAAGTCTCTTATGCTTAACAAGGCTGCATTTTTATTTTTATTTTTGGAAAATACAGTAAAAACAGTAATATTGTGAAATATTATTACAATTGTAAATAACTCATTTATATTTTAATATATTTTGAAATGCAATTTAAATTTTTCTGTGATGGCAATGCTGAATTTTCAGCATCATTACTCCAACCTCAATGTAACATGATCCTTCAGAAATAATTCTAGTATGCTGATTTGTAGCTCAAGAAACATCTCTTATATTATTAATGTTGAAAATAGTTTTGCTGCTTAATATACACTACCAGTCTAAAGTTTTGAACAGCAAGATTTTTAATGTTTTTTAAAGAATTCTCTTCTGCTCACCAAGCCTGCATTTATTTGATCCAAAATACAGCAAAAGCAGTAATATTGTGAAATACTTTTACTATTTAAAATAACAGCTTTCTATTTGAATATATTTTAAAATGTAATTTATTCCTGTGATCAAAGCTAAATTTTCAGCATCGTTACTCCAGTCTTCAGTGTCACATGATCCTTCAGAAATCATTCTGATATGCTGATTTGCTGTTCAACATTTATTATTATTATTATCAAAATTTAAAGCAGTTGAGTACAATTTTTTCAGGATTCTTTGATGAATGGAAAGATCCAAAGATCAGAATTTGGGAAAGAAATTTTAGAAATTAATACTTTTATTTAGCAAGGCTGCATTAAATTGATCAAAAATGATGATAAAGACATTTATAATGTTACAAAAGATTTCTATTTCAGATAAATGCTGTTCTTCTGAACTTTCTATTCATCAAAGAAACCTAAAAAAAATTCTACTCCGTTTTCAACATACTAATAATAATAATAAATGTTTTTGAGCAGCAAATCAGAATATTACAATGATTTCTTAAGGGTCATGTGACACTGAAGACAGGAGAAATTATGCTAAAAATTCTGCTTTGAAATCACAGGAATAAATTACATTTTAAAATATATTCAAATATAAAGCAGTTATTTTAAATAGTAAAATATTTCACAATATTACTGCTTTGTTGTATTTTGGATCAAATAAATGCAGGCTTGGTAAGCAGAAGATAATTCTTTTATAAACATTAAAAATCTTACTGTTCAAAAACTTCTGACTGGTAGTGTATTTCTGTGAAAACAGTAATGTTTTTTGTTTTTTTCAAGATTCTTTGATGAATAGAATTTGTTTTTCATTTATTTTGAAATAGAAATCTGTAAATCTGTCAAACTGCTAGAAAAAGAAAAAATCCTACTGACCCCAAATTTTTTAAACTGTTATTGACATTTCATCACATTTTTGTGGTCCAGGGTGGAATGAAACTTCATTTCCCAGAATTATCTGTGTTAATTCTTTGAATTACAGTCAGTAAATTCCTCTTCTGTCATTCCAATTCATATTCCAATTCCAAATTCCTGTGGAGTGTGGCCAATTCAATTCAAATTCACAATCATGAATTAAAAGGGAGCTAATTCTTTAAATTTTCACCATCGTCATTGTTTTGTTATGCCAGCGGTTCTGATGTCTCTCAGAGGTCATTGTCGTCTACCTAAAAGTGTTCGCCAAACACCATTTTGTAATAGAGGAGTTGTCAGGGTCAAGGTGGCTGACATTACTTTGACATCGTAAAAAGCTTCTCCTCCTTTCCAGAGGCGTGCTTCTGTTCTCCAGCGCTGCCGCTGGCTTCGAGAGGGGGAGGGAATGAAATCGAGGGTAGCAGGAGTGATCAATTTGAAAGCTATCAGCACCAGCATGTTCGGAGTGCTGAATTAACACACCACCAGGGACTGTTCCTGGAGCCCACCACGAGCCCTTCACTCCTAATGTGCTAACAAGCTCACTTTTGCTGTCTCTTCAGTGGCAATTTCTCTCTTTCCTTCCAGAGCCCAGGAGTTCAGCGCGGTGACAATGAAAAGCTCCAAAGGAGAGGGGGGAAGAGGCCTTTCATCCACAGGGAAAATGAGTTTCTGGTAATGCACAAAAGGCTCTTTTTTATCCTCCTCTCCTCTTCTAGCATGTGATGCTAGAGAGGGTGCGAGAACCCGGCACGCACTCTCTTAAAAGGACTTTCTCCTTTTTAACAAGCCGTCATAAAAAAACACCACCCATCAAAAATTCAATTACAGTGGATGCCGGGTTATATGGGTGAATACATGGTGCAAAAAAGAGAGAAGGGAAAAAAGAAGAACTGTTTTTCCCTTTACCTCTCTCTTTGTGACACACAAAGAGCATCTGAAGTCAACAGCGGAGAGGATTTGTTGTCTTGGTGACAGGGTGGCATTAAAGGCTCATCTCAGGTTCAGGATGGTGACCACATGTTGTGCGGCTCTGAGAGGGCTATTAAGATGCACAGTGGTGCTGCTCACGCTCTGCTCTCGCTGGTTGGAATGGTTGCCCAGTTGTAGCCGGACTATCAGCATAAAAGCTGGTCCACTTTGCAGCTTATTCTAGACATGAGGCATCTACGAGTCGTAGTCAAGACTAGTCCCAGTCAGACCCAGACCAGTAACAAACCCCCAAGATCCAGATCTTGACTAATACCAGACAATTCAAAACCAAGACCTCTCAAGACTCTTAGACTTTTTAGTCTAAAACCAGGTTCTTCATTTTAGTGACCTGAAATGAAGAAAAAGCCGCAGCTTTCCAATTCCAGCTTCAAAACTTTTTGTATATTTGTACTTTTTTAAAATATATATTTTAGATTTTTTTAGATCAAATATTTTAGATGTAAATATTTCATCGTCATATTCATGAAATGGCATCTAAGTTTTAACTTCTGTTTTGTGCAGATGTACTCTACTGTAGATTTTTTTTTTATCTCAGTCTCACCAAGGTTGCATTTATTTAATCAAAAATACAGTAAGAACAGTAATGTTGTGAAATTTTATTACACTTTAAAATAGCCATTTTCTGTTTAAACATGTTTTAAAATGTAAGTTATTCCTGTGATGGCAAACCTGAATTTTCAGGAGGCATTACTCCAGTCTTTAGTGTCACGTGATCCTTCAGAAATCATTCTAAATTGATTTGGTGCTCAAGAAAAATTATTTTTATTATCAATTTTGTAAGCGGTTGTGCTGCTTATAACGGAAACCATGATACATTTTTTAGGATTCTTTAATTAATAGAAATTTCAAATAAAGCAGCTGTTATTTGGAACATAAATCTTTTGTAACATTATAAATGTCTTTAATTTAAAATGTAATTAATGCATCCTTGCTGAATAAAAGTAATAATTTCTTTAAAAAAATTTACTTACCCCATACTTTTGAATCTTTTGAATGGTAGTTATATTATTACTTTTATGTTGTATATACAAGTCTGATTAATTTCTTATGTATATAGGATTTTGTGTATGTATTTTGGCTGGCAAGTTTTGTGGAATATAAATTAGTCTGTGGCTGCTGAATTATCTGTTAGTAGTTCATGAGGCACTTTTAGTTTTAATAATTTGGAAGTGCAGAACAGGGAGGCTACAGCTGATGTCTTGAATTCATTTGTAGCAATTGTGACTGAATGTTTTAGTCAGTGAGACCATATGAATGCTATTCTAAGCTGTTAACACGGCTGTCAAGACTGTCACGGCTCTGTCATGTTCTGCTTATGGTTGTAGTACAGCATGTGTCTAATTACGTCGCACCCACAGACACTTTCTCTAGCTGCTTTCTCTTCTCCTCTGTGGGAACCTCTCACCCACTCGCGCTAGGGTTCGCTCTCAAACAGCGGGACCCGTCGGCAGGAAACAGGTCTGCTGGAGACAGGAAAAGGCAAACGACAGATCTGCGTGAGTGTTGCGCTTCCTAACGGAGACGCTTCCTACGTGTTCCTCTTCACCTGCAGACACACCCAAAGAACTAGAGCTGAGAATATCTTCCCCCTGCCTCGTCCCAGCAGGACCTCAGTTTCTCACCGCTCCTCCATCAAGTTTTTCCAGTGACGCAGCATCCGTTGTGATCCGAACCGTGTGCTCTTGGCTTACTAAGTTATGAATGCAGCACAGACCATATGCCACCGGTCTACTTAATCAAATCGTCCCCATTAACAGAATCCCTCCGTTTTTAAACCCATACAGCGACATAATCCAATCCCTTCCATTTACTCAAAACCATCATTTTTCTTAACCGAATAACACAGACAGTAAGATGTCCATTGATACCCAATGTCACCATACGTAAAGCAATGACAGCTTCGTAATACGGTTTACAGTATGATGGGAGAATTATTAACCCATGGCATCCTGGCTAACTGTTTGACCCCTATTGATGTGTTTTTGTCGCTTATGAAATCGATGCACCAATCTTGTTTGACTTTAACTCGTATGTTTATCAGCTACGAAGAGAGAGCGAGATATCTGGAGACGATAGTCCAGCACCACTTGGAACCGACAACATTTGAGGACTACGCGGCTCGTGTTTTCTGCCCTGCACCTTTCCACCATCTTCCCTCTGAAGCAGGTGGGCATTGACTAAATGAATCGATTCTTAATTCATCTGTCATTTTACACCACTCACTGTTCACCTTCACTCACAATTTCATTCAGTTCCAGGCTTATAGAATCACATGCACACGTAATTTCTGTCCAGTCATTACATTTACATTTTCATGCATTTTGCAGATGCTTTTATCCGAAGCAACACTGCATTCGATATACAAAAACACTACCATTCAAAAGTTTGGTGTCATTAAGATTTTTTGGTTTTTGAAAGAAGTCTGTTATGCTCACCAAGTCTGCATTTATTTGGTCAAAAATGCAGTAAAAAAAAAACTAAAATTGTGATATATTATTACATTTCAAACACCAACTAGAGTTATCACTGTTGATAACAGTCGTGCAGCTTAATATTGTTGCAGAAACCATGATGCATAGAAAGTGAAAAAACAGCATTTATTTGATTCGATAAATGTCTTTACAGTTACTTTTGACCAATTTAATGCATCCTTGCTGAATACAATTTCTTACAAAACAAAATCTTACTGACCTCAAATATTTGAACATGAATCAAAGCCATGGCCTTGGCATTGCTAGTGTCATGCTCTACTATTTGAGCTACAGGAATGCTAACATTAAAATGAACATGGCAGCTGAACTTGAAGCAAAGGCAGTCCAGAAGTAGCCTTAAGCCCTTTTTGTGGAAGAAATTTCTGAGAAAACAATTGCAAATGAAAATAATTTCAAGAGAATTAGTTGATCATTTCCCCCAATCACTGACTGAGAATGTAATACACAAATAGAGTCGTTATTCAAGCCTTTCATTCACATGCATGACTATACACAAATTTATTTGTGTTTTAGTTCAGTCATTGCAACACAATTTGCTTTTGGGCTGAAAAACGTAATGTATTTTATGCAAATCGAGTTGTTTTTCAAACCCAAAGCTTTTATTCTGGCTTTTGTGTTGGGCTCCTGGTACCTTCTAAACCCAAATGATCATTTTTCTTTTCTTTCTTTCATTCCCATTTAATTTTTGTTATTTGTTCTTTTGTTTATTTTGTTTCCTCTTCAGATCATAATCTTTCACTTGTGTGTATCTAAAGGTAAGATTCCTAAAGATGCCGTACACTGAGGCTGCCTGATTGTCTTTTGCGTTTGTTTGGCTTGTAACGATGTTATGAGCTCCTTCTCTTTTCGCTTCATCTTGTTTGTTCGATTCCTTTCTAGACTGAAACGTGTTCCCTTCTTTTTCCATGTTTTCTGTGTTTTGTTCAATGGGAAGTCTGGAGCATTCGTTGCATGACATGTTCACACAAGATCCCTAATACTGACCAACATTTACACTCTTCTTCACCTCTCTCTAGGTTCCTAGCATTCATGTGTGTGTCCAGCATGATCTCACAGCTTCACTCACCTTATCTTCTATTCTTTATATCACACATATGTCTGTGTATCTGTGTAAATGTCGATGGAGTCACCAGAATGGTACAGTATAACAGCTCTCATGTGGATAATAGAGCTCAGCAGTGGCAGCTGCCAACTTTTTTAGCAGCCTTTGTTCCGGAAGTATTTTTCCTGTTCCGTAAGCGTTTTTGAAGATTCCTTATAAAGAGTTCTTCAACCAACTCTTGATTGAATCACAACATATCAAAGAAAAAGGTGCAAAGTCTCTTAGGAGTGGAATTAACTATGTCACATAAATCACTGCAGATCATAATTTAATCTGATATTTTTGTGCCCGACTATTTTACCAATACGTTCTTTTCAGTAAACACTACTACCGCTGTGCTGTAATGCGAACATCCAGTTTAAATGATTGCCTTTACAACATGTCTGTATAATTTTTTTAATTAATTTTATTCATAAAGGACACATTGTTTAATTGCTAAAATTGATTAAATGTCACAGTTAAGGCATTTATAATATTACAAGAGTTTTAGGTTTCAAATAAATGCTGTTTTTTTTTTTTTACTTTCTATTCAGCAAAGAATACTGAAGAAATTATATCATGGTTTCCATAAACGCCTTAAGCAGCACAATGGTTTTCAATAAATCATAATCATAAGAAATATTTCTTGACCCTGACGACTGGAGTAATGATGTTGAAAATCTTTGCATTACAGAATAAATGTAATTACTGCTAATTTTAAAATATATTCAAACAGAGAACAGGTATTTTAATTGTAGTAATATTTCAAAATATTACGGTTTGATTGTATTTTTGATCAAACAAAGCATTAAAAATGGTAGTGTGCGTGATCTCTTTTTCAACAGAGCTCATGTGTAGGTCTTTTTTGGGATATTTCTATAAATAATGTTGCATTATGTGAAAGGCATTTTACTTCCGGAACCCTACTGCTGAGCATGATTGCTTTACAGAAGTCATTCAGGTACAACTTTTGCAGATGATTTCCTTGTATTATTCAAAACCACGGGAGAGTGTTACATGTGGTGCAGTATTGTTTCAGTGAGGTTGGTGTCACAGCATTCGTTTTTAGACTTTAGCTACTAGTGGGTGGTAATCCTGACATCTTTTTGCATTGTGTGTGTGTGTAAGTCGAGTGGATGAGCGAGTGTGTGTATGAATAATAAACCTTCATGAGCGTGTGGAGAGATCAGCTCTTGCATTTGTTGTCTTGTATTTTATGTGCACCTGCTACTGTTTTTCCCTCTCAGCCTGCTCACACCTTTATCTTGTATCTCTTCTTCTCTTTTTCTTCCTCCTGTCTGTTTTGTATTCTTTCTCTACTTTCTCTTACATTCCACGTCACTTTGCGTCTTTCCTGCCCCTCTCTCTTGTCGTCCTTTCTATCTGCCACTTCTGTCCATTCTTGCACCCCAAGAGAGAAATGCTGTGATTTTTCTGCTCCTTCCCAAACCTCAACTAGAAAACATTGGGCTCATTAAGGTAAATGGAAAAGGTAAATATATACATATTTAATGTATGTGTATAGTGTATGAACAGTATCTGATCTGTGTACATATTTAACAGTATTTAAATCAACCAAAAAAAAAAGTCAAAAGGCCACTTAGAACAAGTCAAAAAACAAGTCTTCAGCTTGAATGTCTGTCTGTATGGCTAGATTTTTGCTGTACTCTGTCCCGTCGTTTTGTTTTGTTGCACAGCAGCCTTAGAGACGAGCCCATGCAGGTTTATCAGCATAAATCATTTGACTGCAACGCTCTTTTTGATTCATCTCATTTTAGATGGGATTTTTAAGGAAAGTGTGAATGAGTTGCCACATTAACAGGGAGACGGCGACGTTGCCAAATTGTACCGAATTACCCGCTAGAGGACTTTTCAAGCTAGTTCTACAATGGACGGCGTGTTTTGAGACATTTGAACAGCCTTTTTTTCTAAATGTGTAGATGTGGAAGTGTACAAAAAACATCATTGACACTAGCTTTGGTCTGTACTTTTCCGTTTAATTTTGAACGTTTAAGGGATATAAGGGTATCTGGCCCTGTAGACTACGGATGCAAGTTATAACTGTTGCCATGTTTAAGATAAAATCCAGTTTGTATATTTTCTTAAAAGCTATGTGAGACTTCACGAGGGTCAGATTTTATTATTTTTCTCTTTAATTTGAAATCATTTAGAAATGTATCAGAAACAACAAATATTTGTGGAGATGAAATCATGCAGCACACTTCTGGATTGAAATTATAACGTGTATATTAAAGGCCTGCACACAAGCAACTGAGACCTGTGCATAAATTCAAGAGGGAAAAAAAACATCCTCATGGATAGATTTTGTGTATGTTACTACTGACCAAATGCTGCATGATTCCAGTACTAACTGCATGTGTTGATATAACAGCTGCACAACACACAAGCACACGCACAAATCCACAATATTGTCATATGCTAGTATCTCTATACATTTGTATCGGATGTCGAAGGAGAGTGGATGTGCAACTACACTTGAGAATAAAAGTATTCTTACAACATAGCAAATCCTGTGCAGTTACTGGGTGCATCAAATAGTTTACCAGTTGTGAATTTATTTTTTTTTTTAAATGTACTGGTTTCTATTTTTCAGTTTTAAGCCGCAGCTCCGGTGTATTTGTGCAAATAACACATATGCTACATTTAAAAGGATATTTGAAGACAGTTTGATTTATTGACCTCTTCATTTCCCCCGTAACAGCTGAAAATGACTACATATGAAAATATAAATGACACTTGTGGTTTATTACATGTAGGCCTCTAATAGTCTTGATGTATGCTATGGCATTTCCTGGCAGTTATGATATAAATACATTTTTTTGCAGCTATTGTCAATTAAAGTATAATGAAATGCACAGTACCTTCATGATCTAGAAATCAAAGCACCTTCTAAGACGATTGAGACTACATAAGCTTTCCATGGGAGCTACTTTTACAATGAGACACAAAATATATTAATTAACTTTTCCCATATTATAAAGACATATTAATGAAAACCCTGCTGTGAGCCTTGAGTCTCAAGCCTGATAGATTTGGTGTTTTCCCGCTATAAACATGAACTGAATTAAACCGGCAACATTAAGTACCTTTAATGAGTAACAGTTTTTTTCTTCAGTAATAATTTGTGAATAATGTGAAGCAAACCTGAAAATTGTTATAGCTGTGAGCCTTGAGTCTCAAGCCTGATAGATTTGGTGTTTTCCCGCTATAAACATGAACTGAATTAAACCGGCAACATTAAGTACCTTTAATGAGTAACAGTTTTTTTCTTCAGTAATAATTTATATAGATGTGAAGCAAACCTGAAAATTGTTATAATAATCAAATTTGAATGCATATGAGCAAAAAATTATAGACAGGGTTCACATAGTCATGGAAATATCTGAAATTTTCAAAAAATTTAGATTTCCAGGCCCAGAAAAGTTACAAACATTAAGAAATTATTAAAGTTACTTTTAAAATGTAAAAAAAAGCCATAGAATTTTCTATATTTAACATCTATATTTCTTGGTTTTCTCAGTTCGGATACATTTAATTGACAAGAAAAAAAAAACTGATTTTTTTTAATTACTTTTAAAATAAAGGCATAAAAAAATTCAATATTGAACATCTAGATTTCTTGTTATTCTCAGTTCTGATACATTTACTTGAACTATTTCTAGTTCAAGTAACTATTTCTATAGTTAATATAGTTCTCATCTCTTGATTTAACTGTGTGTGTGTGTGTGTGTGTGTGTGTGTGTGTATACACACATACATCTATACATATATATATATATATACATACATATATAGAGAGAGAGTATCAACTGGGAATTTCATGCTCAAAAGTGAAGGAACCCTGTATATAATGTCTGTTAGTAACTTGCTGTCCTAATGGAAGTAGTTATAACGTGATACCCAAGATTATCAAAGGTTACATAAACTATTTCTGCTGTCGACAAAGAAAACCTGCAAGTTCGATATTCCCACATAAAGACACTGGACCTATTATTAGTGATAATATCAACAACAAGCCGTTAGACACAATCTGAAGTGTTTGTGAGATCAGCATCCCGGCCTGACGGCCATCTGTAAGAGCATCACCTGTCTGTTCTCTGTGGGATGAGTCTTGTTGATGTGTCTGGTCAAACCCGGAGAACTGAAGAACGTGGAGGGACAGTGTTTGCATGAGAATATCTGCTGTTCTCCAGGACTCAGATCAGGTCTGAGGAGTAAGTCATCTCTGACCGCGTGCCAGAGTCGGTGTTTGTCCCTGATCTCCGCGGAGGGGAAGTGCGCTCCGCACAGGTGACACGGGAAAGTGATCTGTCCGCTTTCAATGTGAGCGTATGAGGATGCTCTGATCGTCTCGTGCGCGGCCAGGTGTTTCCTCAGGTAGGCTTGCCTGCGGAACTTCTTGCTGCAGTAGTGGCACTCAAACACTTCTTCCGGAACAGACGAGGGCAGGTAGGGGGTGCTGGACCTGTCGGGCTCCTCGGGGCAGTGATCGAACAACCTCGAGCTGTCCGCGGAGCCGATACGCATCTCAAAGCATTTCTCCGAGGACGGGAACCTTTGGTCCAGAGGAGGGTCTTGGGATCCCCTGTCCATCATGTTGCTGTCCGGTGCTGATCTGTGCTGTTGGGAGCTGTCCGGACTCAGCTGGTGCTGATTGTTCAGTCTCAGCTTGCTGGCGTTCTCCTTCCCCTCCACTGAGGTCTTCTCGTGGTCGCGCGCCTCCAGCGGAGACTTCTTCGCGTCTCCGGTGCTAAGGTTGCGAGGTTTGTGCCATCTGCGATGGGACGCGAGGTTGGCAGGACAACTGAAGACTTTGTCGCACTCCGGACAGCGGTACTCAACCCGGACGATCCTGGAGCACTTGTGCTGGGCTAGAGAAAACGGATCAAGGTATTCTTCCTTACAAAGCTGGCAGATGAACTCACCGAGCGGTTTTTTTCTACCACTTTGCGGTGCTAGTTTTGACTCGGGGCATTCTTTTTTTATTTTAAGCCCGAGGACCGGTGAGGTGGTGACTTCGTCTTCAAAATTGAGCTTTCTGATGACTTTAGGCTTTTTGGGTGGTTTGCTTTTGCGCTCTGAGTCCATGAACGCGCGTTTTACGCACTGGTGAAAGGCAGGGTAGGTGGGCACCGATGAGGGCATCGGTGTGCCAAACTTCATGTCAGAGTGGTTCATTAGCAGACGCTCGATTGAAGACACCGGGGTGGCCAAGGGGAACGACTCGGCCATGGCTGGTGAGCTGAGACACCTGTCCAAAAGCTCCGTGCTGATGGGTTTGATCGGGCTGTAGGAGTCGGTGCTGTTGCGCGGAGATGACGCGCTCTGCTCCGGGTGGCTGAAGTAGCTCTGTGCGTAATCGACGCTCTCTCCAACAACCCCTCCAGAGTCCTCCAGAAGATGTTTAGAGCTTACATCACTTGTCCATGATTCTGTAATAGGTTCC